GGGGGGGCGGGGGGGCTGATACAGGCCAGAGCGTGGACAAGGCCACAGCCTGCTGCTCTCCCTAGGCTCCCCTCAGACTGGCTGAGGCTGGATAAAGTCCCTCAGACTGGCTGAGCCTGGATAAGTCCATGTTCCAACTAGTGGCACAGACAATGGGTGCCCGCCGGGAGCCAGAGCCCAAGGAGAGCCTGCAGGAGCCACTCTCTCCAGCCCTCCCCTCCAAGCCGCCATGGTGAGCCCAGGGAAATGGAGCACTAGGGGCCTGGGTTTGGCTTTCAGTGGGTTCCTCTGACCTCCATTTGTTGTTTCCCTAGCGAGGTACAGGCACTGTGCCACCATCTGGCCACAGGCCCTGGACAGCTGAGCTTCCACAAGGGAGATATCCTGCGAGTCCTGGGGCCAGCCGGAGGAGACTGGCTACGCTGCAGCCGTGGCCCTGACACTGGCCTGGTGCCTCTGGCTTACGTGACATTGACCCCAACTCCAAGTCCAACTCCTGGAAGCAGCCAAAACTGAGGCCCTGTGCATGCTGGTGGTCCTAGGGACCCTCATAACCCCCAGACTCAACAGCCCGAGAGCCCTTCCTAAGCCCTCTGGCTTGACTACAGAGTAGACTGAGAGCTGGGGCCACAGCTCCCTGGGCTGGCACCTGCTCCCCATACTCAGTATTAATACTCCCCCTTAACTGTCCCAGTTACCTCGTCCAGACCTCCACCCAGGAAAGGAGGGAAGGGATGCAGCACTGGGCTACCAGGATTTCCCCAGCCCACCCGGGCAGACCCTTCCACGGGTATAGAGGTATAGACAAGCAAGTCCCTATGAAGGGAGTTGGCCCAGAGGCCCCTTGCAGGGCTCCCTAGGCCGGTGGTGGTAAGGAGGAGTAACAGTATTGGGGCCAGATACCTAAGCCCCCTCGCTGTAAATAGGCTGTGGCCAGTGCCTGGTCATCAGGAGAGGGAGGAGGAACCCAGGCTTCTGTTTATGTATTTATTTATTTATTTATTACTCCTATTAATAAAAAAGGTGCTTAGCCTCCAGACCAATTTCTCTTTATGCTCTTCCCCAACACACCGACCCACCACTCATTCTTCCAAAAGGATGGCTGGGATAGGATGAAAAGGGAAGGGAGGACTTGAATCCCAGGTACCTAAGCCAGGAGCTGCTTCTGGAAAGTGGTGAGGCCCAGAGCATCATGGGTGAGATGCCCAAATGTGTGTCCAAACTGGAACTTATACCCTGGGGGGAGGGGGCATAAGAGAGTCTGTTACGTATAGCCAGTGGCATAGAAAACCCATTTCATCTCAGCCTGTCGCCTACACCCTCCATACTGCTCTCTAAACTCTGGTCTCAACTCCCCACTGTGAGCTACCTCCATTAATAATAAACTTGAAACAGGGCCTGCATGGTGGTTAAGGGTGCTGGATTCTCACATGGCCAAATGTGGTTCAAGTCCCCGACCTGGCAGCTTGCTTTCTCACTTTCCCTCTCTTTCTCTGGTCAAATTAAAATAATAATAAATAAAGTTAAATTTAAAAAATTATAGTGCCGGCAGGTGGCTGGCATGGTGGTTAAAGGCGCTGGACTCCCACATGGCCGACTGCAGTTCAAATCCTGAGCCTGGTGGTTTCTTCTCTTTCTCCCTCTTTCTCTGCCACTCAGTCTCTCTAGTCAAAAATTGAAAAACAATGATAATAAATAAATATTTTTTAAAGTACAACAAAAAATCATAAAAACCTGAACCACATGACTGAAGTTCCCCCATATCTCTTAGTTCCTTGCCATGCCACCTATCCCCCCACACAAACTTTCCAGTCCACAAAGTCTCCCACTGGGGCTGTCCTCACCTGGCACATAGCCCCCATAGTTAGGTAAAAGACCCAGGTTCTGAGGGTAGGTTCTGGGAAGTACAGGGAGATGTTCGGGATCCTTCTGGATTCTACCCCGTGAGTACTTCTGCCCAAATTCCTGCAGTGCCTGGTTAGTGAGCACAGGAAAGCTGGAGCCGAAGAGGAAGCGGGCACGAGGCACGTAGCCAGTGAACCCTGGGGGATGGAGACACTGAGTCAGGACGTCCTTGGGGACTTCCCCATGTGTTTCATCATTACCACCACCTCTCACCTGACATAAAAAACTTCAGAGGGTCTCTGTCATCCATGGAGTAGGGGGAAGCCTTTTGAGAGTTGATGGAAGAAAAATAGAGCTATCAAGTTCAGCCCCTGGGCTGGAATGCAAGATCCCAGAGGGGCGTGGCCACCAATTAACCCCCACCATCACCAGCCATGCAGTGTACCCACAACCACCCTGCTCCTATGCCCCCCACACACCCAGCACTCTCCACCAGCCTGCTTGGTCTTAACTTCTACCTTCTGCTTCTCGGCCTCCTGCTCTGGCTCTGGCTCTGGCTCTGGCTCTGGCTCTTGGTCATTCTCTGTGTCTTTTTCTCCTGTGGCCGCCTCTGACTGCTCCTCACTCCATTTCCTGCCGTGCCACTGGGTAAAATCATTCAGAGCCTCAGCCCAGACCTGGCTGCAGTTTTTGGCGAAGATGAACTGTGCCCGGGGAACAAAACCTGGGTGGGCAGAGCATGAGGAAGATGTTAGTATCAGGGCTCATGATCTGAGGTGGGGCACGTGATCGTACCTGTGTACAAACCTGTGTACCCAGGGATCATGCTGGAGCTGAGCCTCTCATGGCCACACCTGAGACGTGGGTTCCGCCTGGGAATCTCGGGAGATCTTGGAGGCCGAATGGGAGGCAGAAGTGTGCGGTGGGCAGGGGGCCAGGCTAGACCAGGAGGGCCTCGAAGTAGTTGACCGGTCATCTGCCCATAGGTCTGGCCCATGCTGAACGGGCAATGTCCAGTGTACCTGTAGCACAGGACCCAACCACTCACCTCCGGAATCTACTTGCCCCCATCCCCAGAGACAGAAGCAGAGGCTTTGGAAACCCTGATCTTTATAGACTCGGCTGCATGTAGATTTAGAGCAGACATTTCTCAATTCTCTGCTGAGCTCTTGATCCTCTCCCTGCTCCCATGGAGAGGACAACACAGCTTCCTGGCAGGGCCAGCTCTCACTATTCCCTTGCCCTTTCTTCTCCATCTGGAGACCCAGCCTTGGCCCCAAGGTATAGGCATACAAGTCCTATACCCCTATTCCTAGAAGCCAGCAAGGGAGTGCTCTGAGAAGTCTTACCCTGGGATATAATGAGGCTTCCGAGAGTTGAGCCCCGGTCTGAAGGTGCTGGCCACAGCCATAGGAACCAGGCAGTCCCTTTTGTTTTCTTTGAGCCACAGCTCTGGACTGTGTGTACTGTGTCTAGGGGTGTGGGGCCAGAGAGAGGAGGCGGAGCTAAGAGGAGAGGGACCAGGCACTCGAGTGATGACTGCTTGGGCCAAGACAAGCAGAACTGGAGAGCTTCGTTGACATTGCTCTGTCAGCCCCGGGACAAATGTGCTGCCACATGGGGCAGGGAGGAAGCCGAGGAGGACAGCCCTCCCTCCCCAAGTTCCAGAAACAAAGGAAGCTATAAGGTGAGAGGCGGGAGAGCAGCTTTTAGGGCCATTCAGCTCTGTCTCAAAAGACCATTCTTGCAGGGCCAGAAGATGGTGTAGCTGTTACATCACTGGACTCCAGTATGGATGATCAAGATTTGAGTTCTGGACCTGGGGCGAATGCATGCGTTCCAAAAATGCCAAAAGGAGAGTGAAAGAGAAGGGATTAGAGCATAGCCATCTGGGGCGGGGGAGCATGGGAGGCAGATTTCTCACTTTCCCTCTGTCTCTGTCTCCCCCTATCCCACCCCTACACACACACACATACACACAAGCACGTGCACCCTAAGGCAAAAAAAGAAACACTCAAAAAACCCTTCCTTTTTGAGCCCCTCCCTGAGAAGATACAGATACTGTGCTTCTTGTGAGTCTTGGTCAAAGGGGATGAATGGAGTTACTGGGGAAAGAGGCTATGAGGGGAGCCCAAGCCCAGAGGGAAGGTGATAGAGGGCAAGTGACATTAAGTTTATTTTTGATGACATAATTTAACAAGAATCCTTTCCTGATTGCCTACTATAATCTGAATCATCCTTTGAACAACTGTGCCGCGCTGTGCCAGGCACACCACCTTGCAGATCGTGCACCTCGGGGGAGTCAGAAAGGCTCAGTTCTACGCACTTCTGTGCAACTCTGAACTCCACAATCTTCATTTATAAAATACAGATACTACACCTCCTTCCCCACACCCCACACACACATTGTGTGAGGCTCAAATTAACGTATGTCCATGTGTTTTGTCACTATGAAGCCAGAATTGTAGGGGAGGGAGAAAAGTATGTGTGTGAGGTCAGAGAGTCAGGGACTCGAAAGAGCTTGTGCCCTTTTATGTACCTAACCTCGCTGAGCAGGTGAGTTAACTTCTTTACCTGAATTCTCTAAAGTCTAGTATGAAGGTTGAAATAAACTAGCCAGGCCTGCCAGTAGCACAATGATTAAGGGAACTGGATCCCGCATACCTAACCAAGGTTCAAATCCTGGCTCTACTTGAAAAACACACCAGGCACATGTCCATATGTGCCCAAAATCCCAACAGGATGGAGAAATGAGGAGGGATTATGGTGTGACCACACCCCATTAGGGGTCCTTTCTCCCTCTCCCTCTCTCTGGTGGTCTCATGTGTCCTTAGGCAAATATATATATATTTTTTTAATTAGAAAAAAAGGGGGGGGCAGCAGATGCTGTGGTGATTAAAGCACTGGATTCCTACATGGCTCACCATAGTTCGAGTCCTGCACCTGGCAGCTTGAGGATCACACCAGGCATGTGTGCATGCATGCCTAAAATCCCAAGAATGGAGAAGGGATTATGGAGTGGCTGTCTCCCCTGGAGAGAGTGACTTCTCCCTTCCCTCTCTCCGTTTCTCTTTACCAAGTGCACATGCCCTATGAAAAAAGCCTAAAAAAACAATTTTTTGTAATTAATATTTTTAAAAAGGTCCACCATGGTGTGGCCGACTACGGTTTGAATCTCAGACCTGGCAGCTTGAAAACATGGCCAGCATATTTGCCTACATGCCCAAAATCCTCAAAGGAGGGAGAAATAGAGAAGGGATTGCAGTAGGGGCCAGCAGGTGGTGTGGTAGTTAAGGGCTATGGACTCCCACATGGCCAATGGCAGTTCAAGTCCTGGACCTGGCGGCTTGCTTTCTCACTTTCCCCCTCTCTCTCTCTGTTCCTCTCTGGTCAAATTAAAATAAATAAATAAAGATAAAATAAAATAATTTAAAAAAAAAAAAAAAGATTGCAGAGTGACCACTCCCCATGGTGTGTGGGAGTGTGCTTTCTGTCACTGTTAGTTCCATTTCCTTATAACTTGCACGTGTGACTCTTCAGGAAATCTCTGCCTCCCACTTCCCACCATCACTGCAACAGTGATTTCTTCAGCACACTGCTTCAGAATTATGTAGAGTGATTTTTCTACTTAATTTTTTTTTCTTTTTTTTTTTGCTGAAGGGCACATGTGATCGCTGGAGAGAAACAAAAGAGCGAGGGGAAGAGAAAGCAGCCCCCATGGGGGATGGAAACATAGCAGTCCTTTCTCTGTTTCTCCTCTTGGGGTTTCAGGCACACACACACATGCCACATATGTATTTCCAGCCACTGGACCCAGGCTTGAACAACACAGTCGGCCTTGTGGGATTCTGCCACCCTAACCACCATGCCACTAGCTGGCTTTCTAGAGTGATTTTTCAAAATATTCATGCTGCGGCAGCTTCTGGCCTGGTGGTTAAGGCGACAGGATCCCACATGGCTGGGATCAAGTCCCAGTTTGAGAAACACTCCTGGAGCATGTGCATGCATGCCTGGAGTGACAAAAGGAGAGCGATGGAAGAGAAGGGGACTGCAGTATGACCATGCCCCACAGACAGTGCTTTCTCTCTGGCAAGTGCATGCAGCCTATAGAAAAAAAGTCATGCCCAGCCATTTGTAGTTTATTCTGGGACTAGGGCACTGGCATCTGTATTTTAAAATCTTTTTAGTCTGGAAAAAAGGTAAACTTTTAGGAGCCAGAAGGTGGTGTGGTAGTAAACTGGCGCTGGACTCCCACATGGCTGACAAAGGTTCAGAACCCAAACCTCATGGCTTGCTTTCTCACTTTCCTTCTCAATAAAATTGAATAAAAAACTCAAAAAAAAAATCATTAACTTCCAGTAAAGTTGCAGGAAAAGTATAACCTTTGCCCAGATTTACTAGTCGTTAGTATTCAGGGCTCAGAAGCGAAGTCTTCCATGTTCCCAGGAAGGATGGTTAAATAAAGGTGAGCCCTGTCTATACCACGCTTATCTCCAGCCTGGCCTTACAGCAGATGAAGAGGCACCACCCTTATGAATCAGCTGTGCATAGGGAGGGGCGAGGGCCTGTGGTACGGATCATGAAGGCTTTAGCAGGACAGGCTGCAAACAGATTAGCCAGGTTAGCATTTCTAACACCAGCTAGCCTACTGACTAAATTGACTAGCTAGTAATTAAAAGCTCGAGAGGCTAGAGAAATATCACACATCTAAGGAAAATAGGAGAAATTTATAAAGCTAATAGAAACCAATAAATCAGAGAACAGAAAAACAATTGAACTGGTTATTATAAAAGCTGTTTAAAAAAACAAAATAAGGGGCCAGCAGATGGTGTAGTGGTTAAGGTGCTATACTTCTACATGGCCGACAGCAGTTTGAATCCTGGACCTGGCAACTTGAAACAGGCTGGGCGCACATGTGTGCTCATCCAAAATCCTTGCTTAAGCAAGCAGGATCCCATATGGCTCACCACAGTTCAAATCCCAGCCCTTGTAACTTGAAAAACGCACTGGGGTAGGGAGGACCAACATATGGCACAATGGTTGCATCGCTGGACTCCTACATAATTGACTGTGGTTCAAGTCTCGGATCCTGCGACTTAAAACTCACGCTGAGGGGCCTGCAGGTGGCATGGTGGTTAAGGGCACTGAATTCCCACATGGCTGATTTGAGTCCCAGACCTGGCAGCTTGCTTTCTCACTTTCTTTCTTATTTTGGTATAAAATAATTATACAAAAAAAAAAAAAAACCTCACGCTGGGTGCATGTATGTGTATGCGTGCCCAAGATCCTAAGAGGAAAATGGAGAAGGGATTGCAGCCTGGTCATCCCCCCAAGGGGTGGTTACTTGCTTTCTGTCTCTCTGTCTCTCTAGTAAGTTCAAAAATAATAGCAAAAATCTCTGTTAAAAAAAAAGAAAGAGGAGATCAGCAGGTGGTGTGGTGGCTAAGGTGCTGGACACTCCCACATGGCCGACTGGTTTGAATCCTGGACCTGGTGGCTTGCTTTCTTTCTCTTCCTTTCTCTATCTCTCTCTCTGTCTCTCTCTGGCTAAATTAAGATAAATGAATGAATAAATATAATTAAATAAATAATTCTTAATAAAAAAGGAAAACACGCTGGGTGTGTATGCCTGTGTACTTAAAATCCCAAGAGGACAAATAAGTGGAGGAGAAGGAATTGCAGCATGACAATTCCCTATAGGGTCAATTTCTCTCTCTCGCCTCTCTATCTTGCTCTATCTGGCAAGCATACATACCCACAAGCAATTTTTTTTTTCCCAAGGGAGAAGGGCTAGCAGTTGGCAAGGTGGTTAAAGCACTGGATCCTACCTGGTCAGCTCCACGGTTCAAGTCCCAGACCCAGTGGCCTGAAAAAACATGCCAGGCGTATGTGTGTGCATGCCTAAAATCCCAAGAGGAGAATGGAAGAGAAGGGATTGTGATGTAACTGTTCCCTCCCATGTCTCTAGTGAGCACATGTGCTCTATGGCAAAAAAAAAAAAAAAAAAAAAGACTACAAGACAGTGTGACTATGCCCCATGGAGATAGATGGTGCTTTCTTCCTCTTGCTCTTTTTTCTCTCTGTCTCTCTTTGGTGAGTTCACACACCTTCGGGCAATTAAAAAAATAAAAATAGGGACCAGCAGGTGGTGTGATGGTTAAGGTGCTGGACACTCCCACATGGCTGACCACGGTTCGAGTCCCAGACCTGGTGGCTTGCTTTCTCACTTTATCTCTCTCTCTCTCTCTCTCTGTGTGTGTGTGTGTATGTGTGTGTGTGTGTGTGTGTGTGTGTGTGTGTGTCTGCTCAAATTAAAATAAATAAATAAATTGGGACCAGCAGTTAGCATAATGGCTATGTCTCTGGACTCCCATGTAGTCAACTGCGGTTCGAGTCCCGGACTAAACCAAATGAAATAAAAGATATTCGGTTGCCCCGAAAGATATTAGAAAAAATATTTTATAAAACTAAATAGCCACCTGTGATTTTTTTTAAAAGAACTTTTAGTAAACCAGGAATAGAAAAATTATAAAGAATATCTGAAATGGACACCCAATATCAAATTACATCTAGGAGAAACACCAGAG